GCTTGGGACTGCACGAATTAAGAGGTTTTCTCAAACTGTGTCAGATTCAGTATCAACTTCACTTCCTAACATTTTGATTCATCAGGATTTGTTTAAGTCCACTCAAGAGCTCGACTTTCATGCTTCTGTCAAATAATTATTAACCTTCTGTTTTGCACAGACAGTAATAAATAGTGAAAGGTGGCACTTTTCTCGATGAATATTCCTATTTAAGGTAAATGGAGGTGAAAATCAGGAATGAAACACATGAAAATAATTGCAGATGAGACTAGTTCAAAAATGCAGTTAACCAGTTTTCTCCAAAGAATAATCAATATCAGCATAAACTGACTTTCACTGGCATAGATCAAGCAACTGTGTGTTTGTCCTGCATGAAGTACTAATGCTGAAAAGTGTTTCAGAGTTATAAGGAAGTGTAACAAAACTTTGAAATAGGGCATTTAAAAAGATTTGTTTGGGTGACAGGGTTAAAACACAGTATACACAGTGAGATTAACTACTATAATATCACAAAAAATTGACGACACCTAGGTAAGTGTCAAAAATGTATTTGGTGTTTCTAGAGATATTTGGTATGGTTAACTTACTATTTAAAGTTTAATTATTCTTTATGTTTCACTTACATATACAACTTTTATTGGCAATCAGTGTTGTACTACCAATCTGTTGTGATGGTCCCTCATACAAACTCATGCCCTGGGTACAATCACATCTAAATGTTCCTGGCATATTTATACACGTACTGGTACATCCTCCATTTTTCATTTCACACTCATTAACATCTAAAGTGAAAAGGAAAGATTTATTACTTTCAAACAGGAAGTAAATTAATTTTTGAATATAATATATATTTTAACAATTTCAAGTGACAAATGGTGATGGACTGTTGGCAAGCAAACTGGCTGATCTTCTTGTCTTTTTCTGTTTGCCCTCTAAAGGGTGGCTGGTACACTAGGTTGCAATATCTGGGGCTTTTGACCAATCACATCCTATTTCAGCAAACCTCTAAGTCACTTTTTACGGCAAGCTTGTGACGGTAGCAGTGGCTACTATTTCTGGAATTCACAAACAAATTTGGTTGACTTAAGGTGGCAATAAAACAGATATGAAAAGCACAAAAATCAACTGTTTCAAACAACTCAAAGTCTTTATCAACATGCTATTTTGTGATTTCATCAGCAATCAGCAGGTTCTTTACAGAAACTTGCTCTTATCAAGTATGCCTTAAAGGCTCTCTGTCTCTAACCAATTCTTCAGCCCTATGTACTTTCATAGCCAGTGCATCTTCAATGTCTTGTATCCACATTCATGGAGGTTGCCCTCTGTCTCATTTTCTGGAACCTGTACCCTCCATTACTGTATTTTCAAGCCCCAATTGTGTTTAAAGTGGCCAAAATACTTGCTGTTTTTGAGCCAGTTCTCTTCAGTGTTAAAATTATGTAGGATGTCAGGATTTTTCATCTTCTTGGTCCATGGTATTCTAAGAATGTTTCTGTAACGTTTTCATTCAAAAGCTCCAGTTTGTTCATCACTGACGGAGTGGGAGTACACAGTTCACATCAATAAGTGCCATGGAAAGATACATGATCTCAAAATTGTTACTTTTACTCATGTGGAGGTGCTGTGCCATAGGTTCTTCATGTTGTTTAGTCTTCTTCTAACATCTTTTGTGCAGTTGCCATTTTTTTTCACTGCTGAACACAGATATTCAAAATCTGTGACATTTTCAATGTATTCATTATCAATTTTAATATGAAGTCGGTATACTGTGCTTACTGTGTATATTATTTTTATCACATGATCTAGAAGGCAACATAATGTAAATGATATAGATGCTTGTGAGAATGTAATTTATTCTAGAGAAAAGAAGAAAAAGATGTTAAAAATGTACAAGGATTTCCTTAACTCTCTCAGTAGTAGTAAAGTAAAGATCCCTTTTTACACCTTTAGACACATCGGATAAATGGGAAGAGCACCCGTATTTTTACAGACCAGTTGACACTAGGTGGGTAAGGTGGTCTGCATTATGCCAGCTGTCTTTACTTCCCCAAGATGCATATCCTGGTACAAATTTTAGGCTGGGTCAACCTGTGACACCTCATACCATGATAAAAATCCACGCAGCCAGCAGTGGGTTTCGATCAAGGTACATTTTATTACGAGTAGGACTCGCAATGCCTTAGCCACGGATGCCGTTTCTCAGTTGTAGAGGATAGTTAAATTTGTATGAATCTGAATATGTGATTTCTCTCAGAGACCCTTCAGTTAAGTGATTGTGTGTGTTCTTGTTTGTATTTGTGGTATTGTATGTATATTCAGGCAATATGCTGATGAAACATCTCTGGTTTAGGTTTCAAATAATGTGAAGCTGAATGGCTCTACTTGTTTGTTTAGCTTGGCAACTTTTCCCTGATATTAGTAATTTGAACACATGTCCATTAAACAACAAACAGGCATGCTTGTGCAGCCAAGCAAAGTAGGCATGCTTGTGTAGGAAGGCAGACATTCTCCTAAGAATGCTTCCTGTTAACAATAATAGTGACAAATTAATTATAAATTTAGGAAAGACATACCAAAAGTAAATATGTTTAAGTAAAAACAAAGTCACATACCAGTGCAGATATGTGATGAGTTACCCTGGTGTTCATACCCTTTTTGACAAAAACAGCTGTAGCCACCAGGAAAGTTCTGGCACACATGAATATCACAGATCCCTGAGTTATTACATTCATCTATATCTGCACCAAGAAGGGGGGAAAAAACAACCAATGATATATGAGATAAGGACAGCAAAAAAAGCACTGTGTGAACTATAATCAGATGCATCCATAGCCCAGTCATTAGATATACAGGTACTATTATGGAGGCATCAAAATTTACCATACATTTACCATTATAGTGTTTCCATGGGCAAGAGCTCTTTTTTATCCATCAAAATCTAATCTTCCATCCTCTTCCTCCTCCTCTAACTCCTCCCTCTAACTCCTCCCGCTTACGCTGCTTCCGCGGCTTCCACTTCCAATTCTTCAAATTCTTCCGCTTCTTCCGCTTCTTTGGCTTCACCCTACTCTTTGGCTACAACCTCCACTTCCTCCTCCCTCTTCCTCTTCCCCCTCCTGTTCCTCTTCTCCCTCTTCTTCCTCTTCCACCCCCTCTTTCTTTTCTGCTCCCTCTTCTTTTTCCACCCTTTTTTCCTCTTCTGCCTCCTCTTCTTCTTCTGCCTCCTCTTCTTCCTAATCCTCCTCTTCCTCTTCCTCCTCCTCCTCCTTCTTCTCCTCATCCTCCTCCTCCTCCTTCTCCTCATCCTCCTTCTCCTCCTCCTTCTTGTACTTCTTGTTCTTCTTCTTCCTCTTCCTCCGCTTCCTCCTCTTCCTCTTCTTCCTCTCCTCCTCCACTTTTCTTGTTCTTGTTCTTTTTTTCTTCTTCATCTTTCTTGATCATCTCAGTTTTAGCTCTACTTCTTTTTCTGCTCTTTCTTTATGTGGTTGGTTTGGAGCAGATCTCAGCAACCATGACTCCCAGTTCTCTGTCATCTGATATTTTGATAAAATTTGTGTTTCCTCTAGTATTATTTGTTCCCTGGTCATTTAGGTTTTACATACCCATCTTTCTCCGACACCCTCTGGTTCAGTCAGAATCAGTGAACAAGTTATCAAAATAAATTTATCATTTAGGCCTCTGGCAGTAAATTTCTGCACTATGGTGATTATCACGAATATGTAAGTTAAAATTGTTGATCTTTCAACATTGTTTGTTAGAGAATAAATGTTTTTTGAGGCACATCCAAAGCATAGTCCTAAGCCAAAACTAAGACATTTTTACATTCCTTGCGGGACAGACATTATTGTCTCTACATAAACCCCAATCCTTGATGAAATGAATAATTGTTTCTTTTTCACTGTTATTCTACATCGTCAGTTCTCAATCTGCTACTCGAGACCTTTTTTTTTGGGGGGGTGGGGGGGGGGGGAATGTCCCTTTCACAGGGGTTGCCTAAGACCATTGGAAAACATATATTTTTTTAAGTTATAAGGAAAATAATTGTTTGGGAGTCACCACATGAGGGAATTGTATTAAAGGGTCGCAGCATTAGAAAGGTTGAGAGCCACTACTTCACACAAACCTTGATCCCATATGATCTGAATAACTGTTACTGTTTTACTGTTACTCTACATACACCTTGATATTTTGAATGATCCTTGATTTTCTGAATAACTGTTACTGTTTTACTGTTACTGTACACAAACCTCAATCCTTAATGATCTGGACAACTGTTACTGTTTTACTGTTACTCTAAATAAACTTCAATCCTTGATGATCTGAATAACTGTTACTGTTTTACTGTTACTCTAAATAAACTTCAATCCTTGATGATCTGAATAACTGTTACTGTTTTACTGTTACTCTAAATAAACCTTGATATTCTGAATGATCCTTGATATTCTGAATAACTGTTACTGTTTTACTGTTACTGTACACAAACCTCAATCCTTAATGATCTGGACAACTGTTACTGTTTTACTGTTACTGTACACAAACCTCAGTCCCTAATGATCTCGATAACTCTTACTGTTTTACTGTTACTCTATATAAACCTTGATATTCTGAATGATCCTTGATATTCTGAATAACTGTTACTGTTTTACTGTTACTCTACATAAACTTCGATGCTTGATGATCTTAATAATTGTTGCACATTTCAAAGCTTATACAAGAGCTTGAACGATGACATTATCATCAGCATCCTGCGCATGCTGGGTGACCAAGGTGTTCCTGGGTCTTCTGGATAAACTGTGCTGATGATTTTTCTGTGAATTACCATTTTAGACCATCTTGCATAATGTGTCTCTATCTCCTCTACTTTTATACCATTTTTGTATTCTAGTCATCACTATGATAAAATAGATCAATAAAGCTAGAAACATCACATATGTCCCTATTAAAACAAGCACAACTATGCAGACTGAAAGAGATAGAAACATTTTTATGAAAAAGAGCACCTTACCTAAACAAACAGGTAGAGGGAAATCAAACTGTAAGTCTGTCAGACAGGTGAGCACATCATGTCCAGCCAGCAGGTAGCCTTCATCACAGGTAATCAGGACAGATTTGCCCACCTTTACAGGTCCTGTCATGTTCAGCCGGCCATTGAGGACATCATGAAGTCCAGGGCATTTCTGAGCTGAGTGTAACAATATATTTAGGTTAGCACACATTTAGTTTCTATAGTATCAACTCACCATGCCTATTTTGATTTCAACTGTCATGATATACTTTTCTTAACTTATTGTGATCCTTCCAGTTCTGGTTTTAATCTAAAGTTAAAGATTAAAGTCAAGAGCACTGACTTTATTGTGCCTAGTTTTCTGCATTAACAGACCTCAGATTGTTTCATTACTTTTCAGAACCATGCATTCACCTTATGTGCATTAGTTTGTCCCAGGACCAGAGCTTTTTTTTTTCTAGAAAAAGAAAGTGCCAGTACTCATCACAATGTGTCCACAAAAAGTGCTGGTACTCACTATAAAGTATCTATAAAATGTTCTGGTACTCACCATAAAGTGTCTACAAAATGTGCATGTACTCACCATAAAGTGTCTACAAAATGTGCATGTACTCACCATAAAGTGTCTACAAAAGGTGCATGTACTCACCATAAAGTGCCTACAAAAGGTGCATGTACTCACCATAAAGTATCTACAAAATGTGCACGTACTCACCATAAAGTGTCTACAAAATGTGCACGTACTCACCATAAAGTGTCTACAAAATGTGCATGTACTCACCATAAAGTGTCTACAAAATGTGCATGTACTCACCATAAAATGTCTACAAAATGTGCATGTACTCACCATAAAGTGTTTACAAAATGTGCACGTAAGTAAAGTAAAGGACCCTTTCCACGCCTTTAGGCGTATAGGGCATATAGGGCTAGACCTATATTTTTATAGACCAACGGCACAAGATGGGTGATGTGGCCAGCATCACGCCGGCCGCCTCTACTTCCCGGGATTGCACCCGGTACCCACTCAAGGCTGGGTCGACCTGGGAGCCAAGGTCATTTTTGAAGAAAAGTCCGTCTCCACCAGGGAGCGAACCCAAGACCTTCCAATCCGCGGCGCGCGTCTAAATGTGCACGTACTCACCATAAAGTGTCTACAAAATGTGCATGTACTCACCATAAAGTGTCTATAAAATGTGCACATACTCACCATAAAGTGTCTACAAAATGTGCACGTACTCACCATAAAGTGTCTATAAAATGGTGTCAGAACTCATCACATAGTCTATATTACAGTGGCGCTGAAATAGATTTTTACCTCAAAAGGATGCCAGTACTGCACACCATTGTGTACCGGCAGAGAAAAAAAAAAGCCCAAGCAAAGACAGTACACATTTCTATCTCTTCATTTGTGCATTGGCTGATGCATTAACTCACTTAGGTGAACCATAGTGTTATTTTAACTTCTTTGGACTCACATATTGACTACTTTAAATTATAACTTTCCAGGATATAAAGGGTTAAAATAATTAAAGACTGCAACTGAAAGAGTAAGTAACAACTTCCTTGAAAGAAATAAAGCAGAGTAATGCTTGCCTTATACTGGAAAGTTAAGTCAAACATGAAGTGTTATAAATGTAACTTATTAACTCTTTAAGGAGCACACCACAGCATGAAGAGCATGCCTGTCTAGTGATCGTATGTTCAAATCCCTGCCCAGTCACTTAACATAAACTTAATTGCATTTTATTTAGAGGTCGTTTGCAAACCAACCACAGCATTTGTTGCCTGTTTATGGTTTTACTTGTCAGTTTTACATTAAGTATTTTACCATTACTTTCTTCATGGCCGATGCTTCATGTTATTGTCGAAATCAATTAAAAGTGGCCTGCTGCTACAACACCTTCAGCTAAACTGAACCAGATAGTCTAGAGGTGTTGAACCCCATTCATAACCCTAAACACAGATACCATTACTCAACACTGCTGACAAACAATGCACCAACACATTTGGGAAGAAGCATAAACAGAGCTGACATTATCAACACTGCATGGACTAGACTAGTGTTGGATCTCTGACACTATTAACTCTTGGAGGCCCGAGCAACACTGTGAGTGTTGACTGAGAAATTCCGATGTGCCCAAACAACCCTGTCAACATCGATCGTGTGTCTCATACACACTGATTTACATACAGTTCTGTCATCATCATCATGTAGCAGGTCCTTTGCAGAACGCCGCTTTCATCACAGTCTGCCTGTAAGAAACTCGGTCTCTTGCCAGTTCTCCCGCCTCATGTACTTTCATACTCAAGGAGTCACTTATATCCTGTGCCCATCTTCGTGTCGGTCTGCCCCTGCCCCTCCTTCCTGGTACCATGCCTTCTGCTATAATTTTTTCTAATCCGTCGTGGCGCTTGATATGACCAAAATATTTCAGCTTTCGAGAAAGGATGCTGTTTATTAGCCAATCTTCCTTGATGTTCAGAGCTTTTAAGATGTCAATATTTCTCATCTTCTTTGTCCAAGATATTCTGAGAATCTTTCTATAGCATTTCAGCTCAAAAGCCCCTATTCTCTTTCTTAAGGACTGAGAGATAGTCCACGACTCACATCTGTATGTAGCCACAGGGAAGATGCATGCTCTCAAAATTCTAATTTTTATCTCCTTGCTGGTGCTTAACCATAGACTTTTAAGGCTGTTCAATCTTTGCATTGCCAAGGCCATCCTCCTTTTAATTTCTGTCGAACAGTCTCCATTGTTGTTTATTATAGAGCCTAGATATTCAAAGTTTGTGACATTTTCAATTTCTTCATCATTTATAGTTATTTTTGGGTGACAGCCAGTTTTATCTGTGGACAATATTTTCGTTTTCTTTAAATTGAAGAACAGATTTTGATCTTCACTGTGCTTTTGGACAGACAGTTCCGTACTCGTTTCTAATGTTCGGAACTACCATTAAAGTATTCAGGGATGGTTACTCTAACATTTTTCTTTGTATACAAGTCTTTGCTCACACACACGTGGGCGCAAATTGATCCAATTCATTGCTAGCGTAATTTTCAGACAGTATATTTTCTGATTTGGTGTTCAACTGGCCATGGATACCAATGTTTCGAATACAAGCACAGGTGAACAAGTGCGCCTTTCTGTGGCTGAATGTCTTATATTGATTTAGTCAGATATTTTCTAATTTTGAGAATGATAATGACAAATGAAAATTTTTTGGGAACAGTGAATTTACACCAGCAGCAGCTAAGCCGTTAGCTTTGGTTTTGATGATGTAAATCAAGGTAGACCCATTTTATTTTGCAAAGGATGTGATAGTCACCCATAATTGAATCCAAAGGACCGTTTCAGACAGTACCATACTCATACCATGTCTAAACTACATTATAATCACTGCAGCTACAAGCTATTTATAACTACTAAGTTAATATTTTGGGTGTATAGGAACAAACGAACAAACTTTAGTTCATCAGGGTGACAAATTGTACACCCAGGCCCGTCTTACATTCGGCCCTTCCAATCACCCATCTTTCACACAGCATTTGTATTTTACTAATAAAGCATCCAATTTGAGCAAACTCTTATTAGTGACCTTTCAGGACAAGCTTTAAACCCACGTGAGGATGCAAACATACTGAAACAATCTTCTCGTTCTTCTGTGTTTACCCTATAAAGAATGATTGGTATGTACTGTTGTGGTTTACAGCTAAGCTGTGATATTTTTGCCTTTCAATCCAACATATCATACTTTAGAAAACCCTTAATCAGCACCATTTACCTTATGCTTGTTAAAGGGCAGTGGGTCTTTTCTTTTCTCTCCCAAAAAGGGAGCTCCAGTCCACACAGGGATGTAAACACAATAAAAAAATATGAAGACTGGCTTTGGGTACTCTACCTTCACAAACAGGCACTTTATCAGTCCACTGGCCAGATATGTTACAGTGTGAGAATTTCCTGCCAACAAGCTGGAAGTCTGGCCTACAGAAGAACTCTCTCATGTAGCCAAAGCTGATCTCTTCGGCTTTAGCATTACCTCCTGCAGGCGGATACTCTTTGGGACAAGTTATTACTGTACAAACAGAATACAACCAGAGTATCAGTTCAAAGACAAAGTTTAAACTAACTGCATAAAATGTTTAAAAGAAAAATGAAACTGATAACTTCACCTTTCATAATAAATCTCTTTGTTGCTAGTTATTACAGTACAACAACAACAACAACAACAAAAATACACCAAAATTCTCAGTTCAAAACAAAAATTAAAAATACCAAATATTTTGTATCAATTGAAAGCAAAAGTTAAAACTATATTTTGTATCAGTTCAAAGACAAAAGTTTAAAATGTACCAATTCAAAGACAAAAAGTTAATATTTTGTATAAACTCAGAGACAAAAAGTTAAAACTACAGAATATTCTACGTAAGTAAAGAACATTTTTCACGCCAGTAACACAATAGGCATTTGACACCAAACTTTTATTTTTATAGACCAATCAACATCTGGTGGGTGAGGTGGTCAAAATCATGTCAGCTCCCTTTACATCCTGGGACATTCATACCTAGGATTCATATCCAAGACCTTCGAGCCACAAAGCAAGTATCTAGCTGCTACACTACTATGGCTCTCCCAAATATTCTAAGAGAAGATCAGTCTAGTGGCTAAACAGATTAACATTTTATACTAATAGTAGAACAGTAACCTGTACTTTTATACAGGACAATAAAATATTGTAAAAGATAAACAATTTACACAACAGATCCTGGTACCAATATTGTAGTCTAGATACAAATGAGAGTGAAAATCAATTATAAAAATCAACACTGATACAAACTCGATCTCAAGAAAATTGACAGAAGCTTGACAGTTAATTACGGATACTTTTAACTGATGCAAAGATAAGAATATAATAGTTCTCACATTTACAGGATGGAACACCTTGCCAGCCAAGCTCACCACACACAGCTTCACTATGACCCATTAACTTATAGCCATGCATGCAATGAAATCTGGCCAAGCTGCCATAAGTTATTCCTGTAGTGTTGGTTACGTAAGCTCCAGGTGGCACAGGAATAGTTCCACAGTTGATTTCTGCAACAAATATGGTGTCAGTTTATTGTGGCATTGCTGAAAGTGTCAGATGGAAATGTAGGCAAAAGCAGTGTGCTATAGAAATCTAATCCAGAAATAGTATCAGACAGACATAATTTAAGGCATGGAGACAAAACTAGTACAGTTAACTTTCTAGTAATAAGAAATTACCAGAAGAAGAAAATTATAATGTAATGATATTGGATACTAACTACCTGAAAACTCTTAAGCGATGCTTCCGAGATCCCGGGTAGTTAGCATCCTTTGGATATTTTTTCCAGGGCAGGCTGGTGTGTTCAGAAATGAACATAGACTGGCTATTTCTGCATCACTTAGTGGTAAATTGATTCAAACAGATCATCAGTCTGAAGAGAATGGTGCAGCCAGGAATGACCAGAGGATTTGGCCGACACATAACACTTTTGGAAGGCACCAGACGGACATACAATAATACTGTTACTGGTACCGTCAAAACTAAAACTCTCTGCTTACTGCTGAAGATGAGGGTGGAATGCTTATGGGAATGTCCCATGTGCTACGATGTCAGTTTTTAACCCATAACTCATTTTTTAGCATAATTTGTAGCCTGTTTCCTCCAGGATTGCATTCTAGGATCGACAGAGGTACCTCAGGGTGGCAACTACATCATGGAACTAAATGGGCATGCTCAATATGCAGTGAGGTCGACTATGTTAACAAAACAAAAAATTCTTTAGGATTAAACATCTCTTGGATAAGAATCAAACAAATACAAATCTATGAAGCCTTTTTCAACCATATAAAACAGTTTTATTGTGGAACCCAGTCTGGTTATGAAGTTACTGCAGTTCATTGTGGGTTGGTGTGACCTCATGTATACAAATAATTGCCTAGTTATTGTTTGTATAGGCACACTTATATAAACAAGAATGGAAAATAATGATTTCTTCTTCCATATCTTCTTCTTCACTTCCTCTTTTACCACTTTGGGTATCAAGAGAGATATGAGATTCAGCTTCTTGCTCTTCTGGTTGCCTCAACCACATACACATTGTGCCATTGTAGAGTTTCTCTGATGTTATCTTTACATCTTGTACTTCCTCTACCTCATCCTCTATGTAAGTCTCCTGTTTTAGTGTTTGTCTTAGTCCTATGAGTTATGGCATAACAAGGAATTCTTTCTCAGTGGGTAAACCATTTTGATTTGCTGTCTTTCTATTTAATTTAGAATTGGTTCTGTGCCAACTTTTTCTCTCATTACCTCATTCCTGATTTTATTATTCTAGTCACTCATGCAGCCTTTCTCAGACATCTCATTTCCAGGGTTAGTAGTTTAAAATCAATTTTCTGTAATTTATTTTTTGCTACAATACGTACGTGTACACACTGGTAATTCTGACGGAACCCAGCGACCTTTCCAACCACAGATGGTAAATTGTGGCCCTTCAAGCCTGAAACCTTCCAAGCAGGTGAATCCAACAGTTGACCTAAACTGAACATCAGAAGAGCTCAGCACAAGAGGAGGCAATACTGACAGCAATCCACAGTCTGGTGATCAAATATGAATCATAAGTAACTTCTAAAGTTAACAGTTTTTTAAAATATATTATTTATTATGATGGTTCAGTTATCTGATAAGAATGCCTTGGTAAGAACTGCAACAAAGAGCCACGCTAAAGAAATAACACAGAGTAACATAAAGGCCACTAAAAAAGATAGTGCGACATAAGGAAGAACAACCTTTCAAAATGAAGAAACACTCCTACAACAAATTTTTAAAAAAAAGCAATTAAAAAATAAATTAAAAAAAAAAAAAAACTAGGTAACTAGTGGAAGAGAAGAAGAAGATTAAAATACTATAGATTTTATTGGAGATCACAAGATGTGAAAAGCCATGACTTCCCATTTCAGTTGGCAAGACACCTTATGATGATATTAATATGTATATACATGTGTGAAATAAGTTCTCTAATGTGTATAATGAATAGCCAAACCATCTGTGGAATTTACTTTCTGATACTTAGTAGTCCATAAAAAGAATTAATTATCTAATATTTATTTGAAAACTTTAAAACACAGATGGCTGATTTAATTACAGCAGGTTTAATACCATATGACTTAGTCTCTCAACTCAGAATGGCTAGCTTCCGGCTGAGGGTGTTACACAAAGCACAAGCTCTAATGATGATCCTCAGGGATATGTAAAAAATAATTATAATATTTATGTGTGCAGCCAGCAGTCACTGTATAGTACTTAGTAATCAGTGTAAGCCATGGTAGGTCTTACCAAAAGAAGTAACAGCTGCCCAGCGACCTTGATTCACTGTGGAATCAGATTCAAATCTAATGATAAATCCATGATAAGAGGAAATGCCTGGCTGCAGACTTGAGTTTTGACCTGATAGTTGGACGACATTTGAGACTTGCTGCTCCTTATTGAAACTCAACACCTGAGGATTTCAGAAACATGCAAACAGATTATTTACATTAATAAAATAAATGATACTGTTGAACTATTTACTTTATGCTTTAAATTCACAGTTATCTTGGCCATTACTTATTAGATCATGGCACTATTAACTCAGATGGCTGACTGTGTGTGCCATTAGCAAATTAATAATACATTGCAGGAATAAAATGGGTTCTAAAAAGCAAGCTAATTGCTTAAAACAAATGTTGCTCATCAATTCTGTTATCTTTCCCTGATCCAAAATTTACCAGAAATCACCCAGATTCCAATTGTTGAGATTCTAGAAATCACAGATTTGTTTTATCCAAATCAGTTTGAAGAAATAACAGTAAATTACTATTCACAACCATGGCTAAAAATTAATTATATCAATATTCTTCTTCTTCTGCATTTCAAGACCTTAAGGTTCACTGCTGCACATATTACCCCCCTTCCTTCATATGCATAACTGCTCCTTCGTCTGCATTACTGCTCTTTCATCTGCATTACTGCTCTTTCATCTGCATAGCTGCCTTCTCATTTGTCTGGCAGACAAAAACTGTGTACGCAGAAGAGTTTAATTAAAGTAGACTATGGGGTAGATTGAGAAGATTGTGGAGAGATGATATCAAGGCAGTCACTAACTGGAAAGAAAAGGCCAATCACAGAGATGAATTGAGGCAATGAGTGGAGCACTGAACCTCAAGAGCTTGGAATGTTGAAGAAGATGAAGGTATATTTATTCAATTTTCAAATCCACATGAAAGGTTAATCAGATGTTTGATTTCTTAAATACTGATGTTGAAAAATGCATACCTCTACAAAATCTCTGCCATATTCTGTAAAAAAGTTGGGCAAAATCAACAAGGTGACATGTCTTTCTAATTTATCCTTGGGAACTGTCCATGTACAGTTGAGGTTGTTAGGGTATTGAGATTTTGGGTACCCAGGTGACAGAATCACAGATGAACATGTTGAAATGAAGGCATCACAACCTGTACAAAATGGAAGACAATAAATTGCTAATATTTAAAATGATTGTCACACCAAAGATATTAAAGATTTAATAACCCACCCACATTGTATGTTATTTTATATATATATATTTAACTATATTACTGCTTTATTCAGCTGAACATGGGTTCTTGAATTTGTTCCTGTTGATTCAGATCCAAATAGTGACTCTTTGAGTCACTGGGTGTGAACTTTTAAGCAGTAATCCCAGATAGGGGAGAGCTTTTAATTTTTTTATTTTTAATTGAACATTTACTAACTCAAACACTAACTCCCAGATTTGAACACATGCTCTAGGGCTGCTCACATTTGAGGACACGTCTTAAACAACATGTGTGTCTTTATATTTCAGCTATAAATTGCTACAATTATTTTTTTTTTAAGGATATGTAAGATTTACCAGTTTCAAAGATAATTGAATGTACAGTTTGAATAGTCAACAACAGTGGAGATGTGGTTTTTAGAAGAATGCTATGAAATCTTTGGAGACAAGAAGAAAATACATGCTAAGGTACTCAGAAATACGCTCGTCTGTAAGCCTCAAGTTCTTTTGCTTGAATGTGAATCAAAATATACATTTTCGCAGGTTGACCCAGCCTTGAACTGGTACCAGATAATTCCTGGAAAGTGATCACATTACCTATTTACTGCCAGTTGGTCTAAAATAATATGAGTCTAGCATCGTTAGCCCAATGTGTCATAGATGTATAAAGGGACCTTTATTTATTGACTTAACTACTAAGATCTCCACGTGTTAAGGGACCATTTATAAACACCATCTTCTTCTTCAGCCTTTCTAACCTCCAGTGGAGCATAAGCCCTCAACCAACGTACGCCAAGTTGTTCTATCCTTCGCTATTGCATGCAGCTCTCGCCATGTCTTTCCCATCTTTTTAACTATCTAGCTCCCTTCTCCCTGTTTTTTTTTAGGTCTTCCCTTAATGCCCCTGTGGGTTCCAGTGTGAAGACATTCTAGTTATACTGTTCCCAGGTTTTCTCAACGTGTGTCCTATCCATCACCAGTGTCTTTTCTTCACATCTTGGTCCACTAGAACTTGTTTAGTTCTCTCTCAAAGCTCTGAATTAGTGATTCTATTGTACCATTTAATTCCATCTGTTCTGAGTAGGAATCAGTTAATGAATGTAAAAAGAGTCCTTTAGTTTTTACTTGACTACCAAGATCTCCAGGCATTAAGGGACAACTTATAAACACAATCTACTGAGATCTCCAGGCATTAAGGGACAACTTATAAACACCATCTACTGAGATCTCCAGGCATTAAAAGACCACTAATAAACACCATCTAATGAGATCGCCAGGCATTAAGGCACCACTTATAAACACCATCTACTGAGATTTCCAGGCATTAAGGGACCACTTATAAACACCATCTACAGTGATCTACAGGTGTTAAGGGACCACTAATAAACACCATCTAATGAGATCTCCGGGCATTAAGGGACCATTTATAAACAGCATCTACTGAGATCTCCAGGTGTTGAGGGACAACTTACAAACACTATCTAATGAGATCTCCAGGCATTAAGGGACCACTTATAAACACCATCTACTAAGATCTTCAGGTGTAAAGGGACCACTTATAAACACCATCTACTGAGATCTTCAGGTGTAAAGGGACCACTTATAAACACCATCTATTGAATGTAAAATTGTCCAGTAACACCATCAACAGCCAACTAATACTGGGCTTGGTTTGTCCTGTACAGAATATGCAAGTAACTTTATTATCTTACAGAACACAAGATGATGACAACTGAAAAGTATGGGCAATATGAACAGAAAAGGTGGAAAAGATAAATTAGCCTTATGTGGGGGGAATACTAAGCAAAAGAGCCAGAGGAGACAGTGAAGACAGAGAAGACAGTAATGATGTACACTGAAAGCTTATGTAAAAGGTTCAAAATAAAGTGATGGCATTAAATGTATTACAGGCAACACCAACTTCATCACATAAAGGGGGAATGGATAGTCAAGACTTCTGCTGTCTACTCCAGCTGAAGATTTAAGGTCGAGAGGATTAACTTCACTGACTTCATATTTTTCGCACATGGCTTAGTCTCTTTCTGTAGAACAGCTATCCACTATCACTAGCATCACAAACAGCATCAACTCAGAAGCTCCAGTCAATCACAATCCCAGATATTTCCATAAAGACTGTACTCATGTACCAAATACTGCAGTCAATGAAATGAATGCACAACCTTCAGGGGCAAAGGGTTCAACCTTTTGCTATGGAGATCCACAGGCAAACAAGAAAATAGGCAACAAAAGCAGCTGGCTATCAAGTTATCACTGCTTAAGATGTTAAACACAAAAATTATGCCATCTCCATACTAAAGCTGGCTGCAGTTCCATTGGGAATTTTATGTAGTGATGCCCCAATCTCTTACAAGGCACAGCGCCCATACCACTGCCAGAAAGTCACAAGAACAGTCCGCTTTTTACAAAATGAAAGTCCTTTGTGGAGATCAAAATCTTGAACACTAAAGACTGAGAAATTGGGAAACTCATTCACTTCCCGCTAAGCCACAGAACTTAAGGCATGTCTGATATGTGACACATTATACAAAGAATTGGAAAGAGACAATATATACCATTTTTATAGGCAACAACAAAACTGCTTAAACTGCTGCCTTTGTTGATTTTCACCCGCAGAAGAAGATGCTGCCCAGAAGATGTAATCACAGGAGGAATGTTTAGAAAGTATGTATATGGTGCTTCACTGAAGTCTTTCTCTGCATTGGGTATTACTGGACCAGTGGATGAGGTGATGTGAGTAATGATAGGAGCCTCGGGTCCTCTACCATCATAGACTGCAATACTGTTTCCAGTCTCTAGAGTGATGTTCTTGAACTGTGAAAAATGAAAATCAAGTCTCTAGGATAAATTATGACATTTAAATACTGATGACAAAAACGATACATCGCACAGTTCACTGTCTGGCTGTATTTCGCTGTATCTTGTCATATGAATACAGAGTTACATCAACGTATAAGGAATCACAAAACACACTAATCTTTTCAAAAGAAATTTACAGACTGCAGTGTCTGTTGTCAAACACATCAGGTCAAAGGAAGTTCAAGGTCAACTTTCTTCAAAAATTATGATATAATCAACTTTGTGAATTCTTCTATTTTGCGTTCACTGGCTGTAAACTCCAGCAGAAAGTTCTGGTTTGTTTGTCCACCTCTGGATTTAAGCCCTGTTCCAGAACCTGTGCTGTGTGCACATTCATTTTACAGATCTGGCTTATTTGTACACAGACCGTTGGTTTTTTGCTTCTCATGCAGAAGCACTCTAACTTTGAAGGAACCCCCTCCCCCCAAACCCCTCCCCCCAAACCCCTCCCCCACCCCCACCCCCTACCCCCCAATTAGCCGACTCTTGAAAAATGTGCTTGCTGGGAAAGCAGTGGGTCTGTTCTTTTTTCCCCACAGTTGGGCCCCAGAATCCACATTGTCAGGGAAAGCTTGTAATTAAAATATACAGAAACATGAGTTAATTTAAGTACAATTAAAAATTATGGCGTAAAGAAGTCTACTAATAAATTATTATATAAGCACCTCTGAAACAATTGTGATGTAATTTAGCCTGTTGAGAAATTATGATGTCATGTTTTCTGACTTACTTACTTACTTACTTAGTCGCTCCTTTTCTACCTTGGGGTGTAGAGGTTTGCCAGAGAGATCGCCAGACGTCTCTATCAGCAGTTTTCTTTCTGGCTTTGTTCCATTCCAGTCCTCTGTCAGTTAGGGACTGTCGGATGTTGTCTTCCCAGCGCACCCTGGGTCGTCCCGGAGTTCTGGTTCCCTGGTTCTTAGCCTCCCATGCTTGCCATGGTGGCCGATTTTCTCCCATTCTGCATACATGTCCAAACCATCGTAACTGTGACTGATATACTCGGGTTAGTAAGGGCTGGGTATCAAGATCTGGACATATTGTCTGATTGCGGACTTTGTCCCTTCTTGTCACTTGGACCACCTTTCTCAGGTATCTCATTTCCGAGGCCTGCAGCTGGCTTCTGTGAGCTGTTGTCATTGCCTATGACTCACACCCATAGGTCAGGACTGGTACATAGGTAGAGCGGTAAACAGCCATTTTCGTCCTCTTGCCAATTTCTCTTTTGCTAAGAAACCCTCGGTTTATGGCCTGGAAGAGTCTCCCAGCAGCTGCTTTTCGTGTAGCCAGCTCAGTCTTAATGCCTCCGTTTTGGTCTAGTACAACTCCAAGGTATTTGAAATGGTTAACCTGCTCCAATGCATACTGTCCCATCATGATCTGGTGTTTCTTCTCCTCTCTTGAGATCACCATGGTTTTAGTTTTGGAGATACTGATGGTCATCCCTTTCTTTTCAAGCTCTTCCTTCCAGACAAGTAAGTTGGACTGAAGGTGTGCCTCTGATTTAGCTATCAGGATGTTTTCTGACAATAACCAGTAATTTGTTAGAATTTTGTTACCTAAAACTGATATAGCCGTCCATATTTTCAGAAAATGTCACGTTAAAATGTATAAATACTTTTCCATAACATCCATCAAGTACTGAATAGTTTAAAAAAAAAAAAACAACTGGCCTAGCCCCATATGCCCAAGGACATTTCACCAGTCTTTTTGCAGTTTTTTTCATCTGCTTCTTGCAGGTCTGCTTCACAAATGTGTCTGTTCGACCAAGGTTTAATATGGTGGATAGGCTAGCAGTCCATAAAAGTCTTGACAGATTATTTGCTTCGTGCCTCAGTTTGCTAATGCAGTTTCCCCTATTTACTGGAATCCATGGTTCTACTGCCTAAGCTGCTGATTTCAGTGCTTGGAGCAACACTGTGAACTGTGTAATATATGTGAAATACTTTTTGTGTTTGCCCAAGCTGATTTGTATTGTGATATTTAAAAAATGGTGGTTGGCCAGTTTAAGCTCAAGCTGTGAACGGGCTTTATGCAAAAAAATTGGAAATGTACAGTGAGCTTGTCATGACTAACCACTTCCATCAATGATAACTTGCAATTCCAGTGGTGACTGTTATTGTTGCTACATCTAGTGACTGCCTTTTGCATTTACTGTGGGTGCTCGCTTCTAGATTTTGCTAGGAATAATTGTTTGTTTAGTTTTTAAATGAGACAGTGAGGGCCAGTTTGTGTGATTTTCACTGGCATAGAAATGGAGCAATCGTATCTTCAACAAAAAAGACTTCTTCAGGTACTTGGTCTAAAGCAGACATGCACACACGACTTTTTAAATACCCGTTTTCTGACTTTGTAATAAAGCTGGTGTTATTTATGTTATATTTTCAAAAAATTGTATCAGCTTTCTATCAACACCTGTCTTCCTCCACAACTTAGTATTAAAATTTTTCAAAAGAATACCCAGAATACTCTTTAAGCAAGCAACTTTTCTGCTTGATCCCATTCTCCACATAAACAAGAACTTTCATCTCTCTCTCTCTCTCTCTCTCTCTCTCTCTCTCTCTCTCTCTCTCTCTCTCTCTCTCTCTCTCTCTCTCTCTCTCTCTCTCTCTCTCTCTCTCTCTCTCTCTCACACACACACACACACACACATGCACACACACTCATGCATGCATGCATACGCACATACACACACACACACACTAACAATACTATAGATATTATAATGACAACAACAACAAACAATAAACAGAATGAACATAAATTAATTACCAGTTTACATATGTTAAACAAAATAAATATCTACTTTAATACATGCATCAAACATACCTGTAATGAGAGAATATCAGTGCTCTTGTACGAAGAAATTATCCAGTCACAGTTCAAAGATCTCACCATACTTGCTGATGTATGTTCTGCCAGTGGAAAACTCAATAATCCTTCTTTGTTTCCTGCAATCAGCTCTCCACCACAAGTTTGTTTCTCTAGCTCTGTTTAGTGAAAAAGATACAATTCTCAAATGAACTGATAGGACTGTAAATTCTGCAACATATTGTTGGGTTAATAGCAAAAAATATTTACTATTTAACCTGTCTTGTTGAAAATAGCATAATTATAGTGTTTCATCATTGGAACCCACTGGCAAAAAACAGAAAGAGAGAAACCTAAAATTGCATTTTATTGTGTGGGAGCCAATGAAAAATTGATGATTATTTTTAACTGAAAAATGTTCACTGATTAACAGCTTTTTGATTACCTTAATTTTTATTTTAAATGATGTACCATCTCCACAATGAAAGTTTGTTACACTGTACATGTGCATCAACTGATTTGGTTGAGAATATTATGTGGTAAAACCTCAGTCTTTTCCACAGTGAGACTCTCATACCATTGTCTGAAAGCTATAGAAGCAGTGTCCTCTTAGGGTTATGTGAGGAAGTTGCGGGGAAAGAGGGGGGGGGGGGGGGGGGTGTCAAGCAATTTTGTTCATTGTTTTCATTTGCACTAGTAATAATCCATATTTTTAGCTTTAACAGTCATAAAAATTAACAGCTCTGCCAGCTTGATGCGGAGAGTGAACCCCGTTCTGCCTACTCCAAC